TTTAAGTATTACCCTTCCTTTTTCCTTTTTCCTTTCTCTTTCCTTGGTATCTTTTGTCCTATGTCCTTCCATCTTTTCATTCATGTTTCTTTTTTTGACGTTGGATCTTTCCTTTTCTTCATCCTTTGCTCTATCCTCCTCCACATGAAAGGATAAAAATATCCAAAACTGGAGATATTAGTGAATATCAACTCTTCACTCTAAGTACTTTGGAAACATTTATGGTACTTTAAATACATTTAATGCCACACTTTTACTTGTAAAGGATTATTTTTATATGGTCAACAAAACACAAGATTAGAATACTTATCCACTAGTCATATTAAAACTGACAGTGAAATAGACTTTGCATTTTCAGTTTCACAGACAGTGCCATATCTGAACAAAGTGTGGATTTGGTTTCAACACTGGGGAGCACACGTATGAAGAGGGGGAGGTTGGAGGGTTAAGCATCAATCCATCAATTAATCAATAATTTCCTGCATTCTGGTGAATTTTTTTGCACACATTTTGCCTTTTCTGCATCAATTTAAAGTGGAAATATCTTTAATTTCAACAAAATAAGAGAAATAAAAGTCTTCTGGTACTTTTATGTTTTTTATTTTGGGGATCAAATGCACATGTTGATGTAAATATAAAGGGGGATGTGTGACATAATCAAAAGCAAGCACAAATGGTTCTTAAACACATCAGAGAGAAGGACTGAAGTTTCCCTAAAAGGCTAAACACAAGAGGCCTTTATAGACTTGCCAGTGTTTCTGTGGGAGGCAGCTGAGGCACCGCTCACTGGATGTGGAATTCTAACAATACAAACAAAACTTAAGAGGGAATTTGAAGGACAAACAAGACAATTTACCTCCAACATGGCATGTCTCTGCAGTGAAACATGGACACAGTTTTAATGTGGAATGCTGACAATGCAAACAAAAGTTTATGGGAGGTCAGTGGGAGGTTGATGGTACTAATCTAAACTTTCAATGTGAGACCTTTTTGCTAAAGACAGTTAACCTAATAAACATCCAACAGTCAAATATCTTTGTACTGTGGTGCTGATGTGTGTGATAACACAGCAGGGTTGTAACCCAGTTGTGGTTCAGCTTATCAACAGGGATGTTTCCACCAACAAAGAGTTATTTGACAAGGTCATCATAGAAATGACCTTAACTAATCCCTCACGTGTGTATATGCGTTTTCTCATGTTTGTCTGTATGACTATGGCACTGGGTCAGCTCTGTCCAAAGGTACTGTTCCACACCAGTGACTGTCACCTTATCACGGGCTGAAGCTGTTTCCCCCACAGATTTTTAAATTGTTGTGATGTATGGTGACAGACATCTCTGAGGCCTCTTGCTGGGATTTTATCCAGGAAGTGAACACAGTGAACAGTTTGCCTTCCTTTTCCTTTGGCAATAATCTACCCTGCTTCATAGTGGGAGCTGCCCAGTGCAATCACAGTCTTTGTTAAAACCTTTGATCATGAACCAAAGCATCACAGGGCTAATTTTTTGTTCGCAACACCCCATATCTGCTGGGTTGAACCATTATTGGGCTGATATGGTGTAGTCTTATCACAGCCAGTTGACAGTCTCATTTCCACAAGTTTTTTGGGCATGTTCATGGCCCCAAAAAGTTGATAGATAGATATTTAGTAGTACTTGAGGTAATTCGTTGGGTGCCATACAGCAATTGTCAGATACACAGACAACTATAATAACACCAACAACAGCAACACCAAAAACAAAAAACCCTCAGCACCAGGGTTCATCTTCCATATAATAGAGCTATTCTAATATTTTTGGTAACCTGTTTTAACCGGAATGTTTTACGTCTTTTTTATATCTGTTACTTATTCATTCTCTCTTTCAAACTCGGCACTAAATTTTTAATTTGTCTAACCAGCAAGTGGGCTAAAATTAACATGCCCACCAGGGTGTAGTATTTCCTGGTGCTGAACCCAGTTGGAGCTGGAGCCAATTAATACTAGTCGTATAGAGTCACTTGTCCCTGGAGTCAATGCCAACAGTAATGTTTCTCACAAAAAACAAAAGCAAGATGTTAGTGGGTGTTAGTGGGTTTTTTTGTCCAGTAGGACAAGGGCTTTAAGCCCATCATGGTCTCCAGAGGATGAACCCTTTAGGACAGTGTATGAATAATTGTCATACATTGTCATATGACAGTTTTGATGTACATGTATGGTCCTCAGAGAAACCTCCCTTTATTGCCACCATCAGATCATCATTTTTGTTTTTACACAAAATTGTAATGGACATATTCAGCACTGTCTCCTGTACAATTGTACAAATGCCAATTTGAAACAGCAAATACATTTTGAGTTAAACATAATGCTGAACAAATACATTTTCTGTTAACATAATGAGGAAATGTTGCTAATTAACATGCCTGGCAAGTTGCAAAAATGTTGATACTGAATGTACCAACAAAATGATCACTGCAAACATTTTTCAGTTGTTTTCAACACAACCAGTCATTGTGACTACAACATTATTTTCATAATCTTTTTATGAAAACGTTACCAAATCACGATCTTTCTCTAACCTTAACCAAAGTGCTTTTGTTGCTTAAACTTGAGACAGGTGTTTGGACAGGAACCTTAAGTTCTGCTGTCAAGCTCTTGCGTTCTATACGTTGTCCACAATCCTTCCCAACCACCTCCTTCTGAAGCCTATGCAGTACATGAATGTAGTCTTTCCTTACCTCAAAGAAACCACTCCAAACATAATCCAGGCAGCATTTATATTGCCACACTGTTATTAAGAAAGAACTTTCGTAACATATAAATGTAATCTGGAAGTCAGCATTGGCATATTTTATTGAAATTTATCTAACACTTTCATGGTCCCCAGATAATCTCTGTCCATTCCTGTGATTACATGACCTTCCATTAGTGCCACATTTAGATCAGATAACACACTAGATAGCCACTGGCCAGATGGCTATGAACTTTTCTGTGGATTTTCATGGTCCACAGAGGATAAACTTACACCAAACATTCACTCTGTAAGAGAGATTCTGACTCCATGAACCATTGTGTATTGCTAAAGATGATGAAAACAGTTGGCTGTTCAGGCTGAAAAATATATTGATCTGAGAAGAATGAAAAGAAGCTGAAAGATACATAAACTCTGTAAAAGGGCAGTTTACAGAACATGATAACGTGATTGAAAACACATGTGGAATCATGTCAGCCATATGCAAAAATATTGAGGTGATCCAAGATATACAAACACAAACTGGGCCAAGGGTGGAAAGTGAGAAATCGAGGAGTGAAACAGAAACTCTCTCTCTCTCTCTACTGTACATGCATATTCAGGTCATGTTTATATGAAGGTTTACATAATGCTTATCATATGTCCTGAATTTTCCGTTTGCACTCTGTGCAAGGTCTTTTAGTGCCTGCACTGTGTGTCAGCATGTTCTGTTATCATACCAGATGTTAGACAGTCCCTATACAAATGTCACCCAGATAAACTTCACCTGTTCCGCTGTACCCGCTGCGTGAAGTCTTCCTCTCTGTGCCTCTTTCTTTCATTTCTAATGTATCTCAGCCCATCGTGGCAAAATTCAATATATTAGAAGAAAAGGGTTTGACGGTATGTGTTGAGAGCGTGAGGGTGTGCTCATTCCATGCAGTTTTGAGTGGTTTGTTTTCACCGTGAGAGGGATTCGATTCACTTCGAATAAACACACAAACCAAATGCCTAAAACTGCAGGTCAGAGTCTTGTGACTAGAAACCACAGTGCATTCAAAGTATATGTTAACTAAATGTAGAGCACAGCAAATAAAGACAGGAAATGAGCCTGAAACACAGAGCTTAAAGTTCGGGTAAAGCCAAATCAGTGAATTCTTTCTAAACACATTATACATATTGGAAAATATCTGTTGAAAACACATTAAAAGACAAACTATGTAGTAATGAATTGTGGATTCAGACAGCTAAACTGTTTTCTGTTCAAACAACTGTGTGTCCCTGTATATCATTCTGTGTCCCTGTGTTTAAATTTTGGAGGTTTTGTGGGACTGTGAACACAGCACAGGCAAAGCTCTCCACAAGTCCTTCTTCCTTAGCAGCAGCAGTTTGTGATTCACAGGGTGGCTAAGCAGAACTTATCAGATCAGACTGATGGATGAGAGGAGCAGCTGCTGCAGAGACAAACATTTAGACCCAGCAGAAGTTTCACTGTTAGAGCGCCTGACCTGCTGCTCCATCTCTGCCCCAAGTACGCTCTGCGCTCCGACAGTGTGCTGCTATAAATAACCGAATAGTTTATATATTTCAAAAGCGCTCCTAATGAACAGTCCAGCTCCAAAACTAGAAAGTCTATTTGTGCTGGCAGATGTTTTAATTGTGGTGGGCTGCCACAAATAAATAAATGTGTGGACTTTGGACTTTGGTAGAGGTGTAATGAGGGCTTGACATTTGACAAGGCAGGCAGGCAAAATGAAGGACAAACTCTCTGATTCTAATTCTGCATTCCTGATTGAAGTGAGCACCAGAGGATATAAATTACTGCACAAAGAACATTGCATTTAGTGAACTCTGAATTAAGTTATACAGACTCATGCTGTTCGGCTGAATATTAAATCCAAAGATCTTTTCATTTGAATTCCACTTTGCAAAGATGTCCAAAACTGTAAATGTAATATGTGTAAAATAATGCACAATACATCTAAAACACTGTAGTTCTGTTAGTTGGAGTTGTTTGAGTTTGAATAATTCAGCTTTGATGAGGAGCTTGGAACAGATCATACAGTCTATATGATCCAAAAGATTTGCATATAGATTAAATAGCTAGAGGTCACAAACATGGATACAATAAATCTGTTTTTTCCCCACTTAAACAAACAACACTAAACAATTTTTTCTCCTTGTTTTGTTTTGTAGGATGTTTGAATTTTAAAGCATCATAACTTAATGCTCACTCTCCTTCTCTCCCTCTCTCTGTGTCTGTCTGTCTGTCTGTCTGTCGCTCTCTTGCAGATGTTTAGCAGTAAACAGATGGCCTCTCGGCTCAAGAGTGGTGAAGCTCTGTAAAGTCATTCCCGTGTTTTAGTGCGAGCGTCCCTGAGGAGTTTTATGTGTCATCAGGACCTTGAGACACACCCACTCAGACACACACTGATGCTCAGCCTCTCCTTTTCAGAGTAGACCTGGCAGACCTCTAATCTCTAAAAGATTGATGAGGTCCTGTCCAGGCGCAGGAGGCCTGGCACAGTGTCGATAAGGCAGCCTTCATTTCACCACATTTTATCCCGTGCTCCTTCCTCTCCTCTCCTCTTTTCCTCCATGCAGAGGGACGCGGGGGCTGCCTTTGAAGTGTGAAAGAGGATTATGACATGCCAAGGCCCCTGGGCGAGAAGGACAGTGTTTTAAACAACAGGAACCATGAAATTCCCAGGAAATGACAGTTCTCTTTTCTTCTGTCGCTCCATGTGGGACAGCTCTGTGGTAGCCGAGCAGTACGCCAGAGTCGGCATGCCACTGTCAAACTGCTGGAGCAGGGATATACTGAAACTACAGAGGGACACTCGGAGCTGAGAGTAGCTGAACACACACCACCCATCCGCACACACGCACAAACACACTCAGAGTGTTCCACACAGGACAATGTGCAACATCTCGTTCTGTAATGTGGAAAGTAAGGTGGACCAGTTCTTCCAGCCCACGCTCTACATCATAGTCATCGTTCTGGGGCTGCCCACTAACTGCATGGCCCTGTGGGCTGCCTACATGCAGGTGAGGAGGAATTCAACGCAACACAGGGCAAGCAGTTGATGTACACATGGTCATTTGCGGGGGTGATGTATTCTTTTAAAGCTAAACCTGAATAATCTTTACAGGATGCAAAATTATTTGAATACAATAAGCAGATTCAATAATGATTCTGAATCAGACAGAGTACATTACATGGACCTCTATTTGTACTGAAAGGAAATGAAAACAGTTTGAAAAAGTTGGAAGGAGCTTATATAAGGGGCATGAAAAATAAAAAACTCCTGTATGATGCAGCATTAAGATGCACCACTGACGCCCTGACACTGTAGTCATGTCAGTCAGCAGCAGTGCCATAATATCATGGCATTATGCACAGTGACTGCATACTTTCCATTTTCAACAAACAAGTGTGGCCTCACAGTAGAAATTAAGAATAACTTTACTGATTGTATCATTTTGCTCAGTTCAGTAAATATGTGTTACCGAATAGTTTAACAGCAGCCTCAGTGTTTTGGCTGACTGCTCATTAAACAACATTGTTTTGTTTTCAGTAAATTACGGAAGAGAGGAAACCATATAATGAGTCATATAACTACTATAAAGTAATGGGTAACATGATTTTTCACAGTGTAAAAACAAATTATTAAATATGACATGGCTTGTTACTTACATACATACAATCCACTGAGCACTGGGGCTGTTTTCCCATACAGCATCAAACATTTCCAGTGTTTCCCACGGACTTTCAGTTTACTTTGGCAGCAGCAGACAGAATTGTTATTGACTTTTCATTCAAGCAATTTCACTAACTCATAAAAGTGAGTGACATTTCAACATGAGATTATTGTTTTGCTTCCATCTCAGCATCAAGGCCACTTCTCCAACTCTAAACTCCAACTGTCCACATGCAGTCTGAGCCCTGGCCCAAGCATATTATGACTCTAAAGAGCACAGGTGCACTGTGTCATAGGTGCATTATGGTTACTGTAATTCCTTAACACCCTTCAGTGTTGGCAGCATTAACTGCACTGATTAGAGCCACCAGCTTTGTGACAATACCTGAAATGAATCCAAAACTTGAACGCTTAGCGTGCTGTTTATTTAGGGCAGTTCTGTCTAAAGATTAACATTGTAATATGAATACAGCATGGTAAACAGAGCTATCTCATAGTAGCTGGATTTCAATCCAAGAGCTAAGAAATCAAATTGGAAAGGTGCACTCAGTAGAGTGCAGATATTCGTTAGGCAGCGGCCTGATCACAGCCACTCCAGACAATTCTTTTAATTCCAATAGACACATTTAAGAAACTCCCAGACACTAAAAAGAAAAATGCGCCTTATCTGTTATTGATGGAGCAGCAGCATAACTGGATTTTGAATGACATTAAGTTTGTCTGAAGGCTACAGCACAACAAAATAGGAAGTAACAACAACAAACACAATTAAAATGGACAAAGAAAGACAAAAATTAATAACGCACGGTGGGTAAGGCGCCCCCGAATCTCATTGTTTCTCCAATTTGTTGACAATTTTGGCTGTAGTTCTTCTTCTTTGAGCAAGCCACTGACTGTTAACGGCTAAGGTGGGCTGCACGCATACCATATCATAAAAATGTCACAACCATGCTGCCCATGATCCCATCTTGCAGGCTGTCCTATTTATACAGATACCATTTTGGCGCTGCTACTACCTCCTATGGCAGCTTAAAGGCGAGACCACTCTGTCCCCCCATTCAGCAATCGTACCTTTTATACAGAACAGTGAGACAGCATGACAGCGCAATATTCCTGCTTTAACAGGCAGTGTAAAAGAAGCTTGTAAATCTACAAAATCTACCATAACCAAACTTTTCTAAAGATGTCAGTTTTTGAGCCACAACAAAGGCCAAAATGTGGCCTGCAACAGACATAAGGCTTGTTGTTTTACTGTACTGGTCAGTTGAGAGGAGTGAGGGGTCAGCCATCAATGACAGTATAAAACAATCAATAAAATAGGTTTTTCAACAATTCTGAATCACTGCCTGCAACCATGAGAGGTCCTTAAGCATACAGTCACACATGTGCACACAAACCATTAGGCTGATTGGTCCAGTAGTATCTGACATTAACTGCTGACAAACTGACTTAATGGAAGCTGTGCAGTGGACAAGTTAAACTGCTGCCGCCAATATATCTGTTTACCTCTCTCTCTTACTTACAAACCCTTGTTGTAGTAGTACGTTCCTAAATTGCTCTTCTTTTTTTTATTTTTAGGGATGAAGTATGTTGATCTGTATGAGACACTGAGCAACAATAAAACAGTCAGACCTAATGAGTCATTTAAAGACTTTGCATTTGTTCTATGTTTTGACAATCAGGAAGGAAATGATTTGCAGCTGATGGAAACATACACACATCATTTGCATTTTATTTTCTGTCACGTGTTAAGTTTGCATAAAGTGCAAACACAGACACTGTTTGCCTCATTATCTTTTCACTGACTGTTTAACTTGTATACTGTACAATAGCACAGAAGCTGAACAAAACACTGTTATACCTCTGTCACTGGACATGCATATTTCTCTTTTGATCCATTTGCTTATCTAAATATATAAATCTTCATCCCTTTAACATTACTCACTCCTGTCTCCTTATCTCTTCTTTATCTTTCCTTTCCTTACCTTCATCACGTTCCTCTTTGCAGGTACGGCAACGCAATGAGCTTGGCATCTACCTGATCAACCTGTCGGTTGCTGACCTCCTCTACATCACCACTCTTCCTCTGTGGATCGACTACTTCCTGCAACGCGATGACTGGATCCATGGTCAGACGAGCTGCAAGCTCTTTGGCTTCATCTTCTACACTAATATCTATGTCAGCATCGCCTTCCTCTGCTGTATATCACTGGACAGGTATTTGGCCGTGGCATATCCTCTGCGCTTCGCCAAGGTTCGACGAATCAAAACAGGTATGTTGGGTTAATTTTAGCATTTCTTCTGAAAAAAAAAAAAAGATCCACCCTAAAACAAATTCACATAAAAACTAATTATTGTTTAAAGCCACAGTGTGTAGGAATTTCTCCCATCTAATGTTGAGATCATATCTTGCATTCAAACAGATAGCACACTCTAGCGCCTCACTGTTTCAAACGTGTATTGCAACAACGGTAGCTGCTGTGTACCAAAAAGCCATGATAACATTGATGAACCCATGTCATCCGATACTTCATGGAGTATTCATTCAGGCTCCTACACAGACGGGTCTATGTCATTGGTCCGACAGCCCATTGGTCCAACATCCCATTAGTCCGACGGTCCGCAGTGCTGAACGGCTCCCGGCGGGCATATTTCTACCCTGATGGTGCGCCGCGACCGGCTCTGGGTCAGCTGGGAAAGGCTTGAGGCGGAGCAGGCTCATGGCTTATTTGTTTGCCACTTTCTTTTTCACTTTAACACACACCATGATCTTTTCCTGACCCTAACCAAGTGGTTTTTGTGCCTAAACCTAACTAGACCTTAACCACAGGGCATCATGATGATTTCGGAACGGATTTCGGAACAATGGGTTTAATATGGTCGGAACAATGGGATGTCGGACCAGTGGGCAGTTCCCACACATACACAAGCGACAAACCAATCACGTCTTGTCTTTTGACGACTGACAAATGGCTCAACCTCACACACCTAATCCCTCTCCTCACATCACTGCGTCGCTAAGAGCTGTTAGCGACCAGCGCTAACAGCTAACACCGCTGCTAACAGCTGTTATCAGCCAGCGCTGCTATTAGCTGTTGCCACTGTTAACCGCTGTTAGCTGTGATTTCATTACCTTTCTCCTTCAGCAGCTCTCTCCACCTGGGAAAGGCAACCCCAATGGTGACCCTCGTTTTTTGAATTCGCTGGTCTTGTTGCCTTTTTGATTCCTTTTTGCACTTTCTTGGCAACGAGGATTCCGTCTCCCGTGATGTATATGCATGATCCTGCATTATGCTCAAAGAGTGAGACTTTGTTTTGCTGCAGTAGTGCCGAGGTAGTAGTGAAGCGCCTCTTGCTCCTCTCCTTCGGCTTCTGAGTCACGCAGCGCTGGCCTTTCTCTCAACGAAAACACCGAAGGCGGGGCTGTATGTCCCTTGCTGGCAGATGTATTTTCAAGATGGCGGAATGTTATGGAACCCCCCAGACGACTTGCCCGCACACTGTACAAATAAATCCGAAATTCTCCTTTTACGAGAATAAGTCAGATTATTGGTGGAGGTAACAGTACACCAGTGATGACATATTTCATAAATGCAGACATCGATTTTTGCCAATAAATAACTGAAAATGTTACACAATGTCCCTTTAAGAGGTGTAACTGTGTCATTAACACTTGTGATGGATGAATCTAAAATAAAGATTTATGGGAGGAAAAGCAACCAACTTTCCAACAAAAAAACAGTAAGTACTTTCAGATCTGACATACGGGATACTGCATCTAGTACTACATAAAAATACTGTATCTGAAGATTAGTTCCCCAAACCGTGCTGCTGCTTAGCCTGGAGGGGATGCATGTCTTCAAGTCTGCCATTCCCTGACATAACAGGAAATTCATTTTTTGCAGAGATAAGATCACTTCCATGTCAAGAGAACTTTTTATTAACAACTAATTAAATCCCTGTCTACACATACCCTGTATAGATATTTTGGAAAACTGACATTTTTTCTTCTGTTTTAAAAACGAATTCTTTCCACACAACCTTCATCTCCATCCACACTAAAACAAAAAAATAACCTATAACATTCACTAGCGTTACCTGTCTTTGTAGTCTCCCTTGACACAAAGGTTGTAAAGTGCACAGGCCACTGTTATCTTTTTCAAAACACCTACTTGAGATCTCATCATCATTTATTCTGGTTTGATATAAGGACGAAGGAGCTCACTCAAACACACAAGTGTTGCTCTGGCAATGCAGAAGTTTTCCTTCTGCTCCTTATCAACACTTATTCCACTCTGGTTCATACTGGTCTAATCCAAAACCATTGTTTCTGGTGGACTAAAACACTGTATAGCACACGCCTCCATTCGTCTGTGAAGTGGTAAAGCAGTACTAAGTTCAAGTGTGTAGTCATTAGACCAAGCAGTGCCTACAAAACGTTAGCAAATCAGTAGTTGTTTCTGGCATATGCTCGGCGGTGTCATCATTTCCAAAATGCCCACACAGATAAACAGTAACCGGAGTTTTAAGAAATCTGTGCCTTAGAAGATATCTAAAAAATCTGTTCTATTGACCAACTCCATTTGCATGTGGACTAGAGGCCAAAACGTAGAGGAACACATCCAAAAATATCTGTCTACATTTAGACAGGGCCTAAACGAGGATGTCTGCTTAAGTAATTACTTTTATTAACCGTAATGATACACTGCTTAAGCCCGGTTCATAAATGTGGCCCCAGACTACACACAAAGTAAGCTGAGTAAACCCCAAAAAAGCATTTTAGAAGAAAAGCTTCATATAGGTGACAGTGAGGCTCTACAATACAATATCATAAAGTACTGTTTCCTCATGGTAACATTTTTGCCCATTTGTGAAATGAATGATTACTCAGGGTTGGTCAAATAAAAGTTGAGGACTCTCTATAAGCTGTTTCTGTATCCCATTCCAAGAACACCCTATTTTCTTTCAGTACAGTACAGCATTCACAAAGTTACTGCAAAGTTTAACATTTCTCACTTTTATTTTCTCCTCTCCTGAACTTCCTGCAGCTATCCTGGTCAGCGCCATGGTGTGGATGATTGAGATCGTAGCCAACTCTGCTCCTCTCTTCCATGATGAGCTCTTCCAGGATCGGTTCAACCACACCTTCTGCTTTGAGAAGTATCCCATGCAGGACTGGGTGGCAGGGATGAACCTCTACAGAACATTTCTGGGCTTCCTCGCACCATGGACAGCCATGCTTGTTGCCTACCGTGGGATCCTGGCAGCAGTGCGCTGCAACGTCTCAACAGAACGCCAGGAAAAGGCCAAAATTCAGCGTCTGGCATTGAGTCTGATCCTGATCGTTTTGCTCTGCTTTGGACCGTACCATGTCCTCCTCCTGGTGCGGAGTATCATGTTTCTAAAGAAGCCATGTGACTGCGGCTCAGAAGAGAGCTTGTTTGCAGCCTACCATGTATCGTTAGCGCTGACCAGCCTCAACTGCGTCGCCGACCCCATTTTGTACTGTTTCGTCAATGAGGGGGCTAGACACGATGTTGGCCGAGCTCTTTCAGCTTTACTCTCTGCAGCTTGCAAAAGAGGCTCCTCTTCCTCACCATCACACGCTGACATACTCAATGCTGGTTCAGTGACTATGGACACACCACTAGCAGCAAAGAAGCAGCCTTGTGTGTACGCAGATGGAACCAAGACAAGCAGCTACAAGACAGAACTGGTGGCACTGAAGGAGGAGTGTCTACAGATGACCATCCTCAGTAGGAAGTGACTTCTATCTGGAGCATTCAGTATGAGGTCCAAACTGCTCAGCTCAGTGGATGGAGGAGGTTCCGTACACTGAGAGGGTCTGATGTCTTCTGGCTTCACAAGCTGAAGTCAGATGCATTTATGAGGCTGTAGATGTTTGGGGTCAAAGCTTCCACTAAATAACATTAACAAGTCAGATTGGAAATGAGATTTATGACATATACAAGACATATTGTCTGTAGCCATGGTAGCAGCTCTTGTGAGATTACTTAGACACCAGAAAATTATTTGGTGAATGAAAAAATGGGGAGACTACTTGGCTAATGTTAGATCCTTACCAGTAGTGGGGCAAACAGGGTGGCGCTTAAGGACTTGCTGTTAATCAAAAGAGTTTATTCTTTGTACAGTGACCCCTTTGGCACATCTGATACTGACAGCTTGTCTAATGTTAACATTTAACAAGCTGTATTATCATCAATCCCAGAGTGCTGCTGAGGCTGACAAGGATTCTGTCATTAGCTTTAGAGGTATCCTCATTAAGAGATAGACCAGAGGAAATTTTGACCCACTGGTGGCGCTGTGTTAAAAAGTCAGGGGATCACCAAAATCCTCAGGATTCAGCCTTTCACCCGCTAATGTCTGTACCAAATTTCACTGCAATCCATCCAGTAGATGTTGAGATATTTCAGTCTGGACCAACAGAAGAACAGACCAGCTGACATTCCTACAGTCATCTCACTGGTGTGGCTGATAAGGATCTCCTCAAACCCCGCTTGGACAAGTACCTGGAGTACCAGGAGTAATTTCCAATGCCTAGAAAGACGTTGAATATTTAAGTGGAATTATTTAAACAGACCACATTTTGCATGGCTGAGTATCATTAGTGTCTGCATGGACACACAACTAGACAAAAGGCAGATGTAGAAGACTGGGGTTTGCACCCAAATTCACCCTTTTGGAATATGGAAGAGGAGCAGAAGGGTAATACAAAAGATTGTAGATTACTGGTCAAAAACATTTTTAAATGGTAACTTTGGTATTTTTCATCGTGGACCCTATTTTCCCATGTTTTTGTGTCTAAGTGTCTAATGGACACAACCTTTTTTGAAATTGGTCCAGTATTGAGTGAGACTGCTGCAGCCAACAAAACAGTCTACAATGTAAGACTGATGGGCAATTGTGCATGTCATGTCAATGTATGTCCGCTAAAAGTTGCTTTGCCACTGACAGGCTCAGATTATTGTTCTAGGTTTTTAACAACATTATGGAAAAAGATATTTAAAGAGATAGACCTTTATGTTAAAGAGTAAGATCCTTTTTGTTTAAGCAGAACAGTCTAAAAATTGCTATTGCCAAACACCACCAGACTACATTTAAATAAACAGCAATTATATCATCATAAAATGCAATTCATTTAAAATTGACAGACACAAAATGAGACTCATGAAACCATTTGGGTTTGTTTCTTCACTGTTCCAACAATCACCAACTCTGGCTCTATACACACAAAAATTACTGTTTAGTAACAGGAGTTTGGTGGGTTTGCTAACAGTGACTTTGGTGCTGTATCTGGTAAAACAAAAAGGATCCTTTTAATTATATTGTCAGACACTCAGAATAATAATCTCAGCATGTCAGTGGCAAAAATAAGCACAAACAGTGGACGTACCTTGATGGTAAAAAGATGACCAAAGTATTTACATTGCTGCCTGTTTTGTTGCTGCTGGCTACTGCGCTCTTACTGAATACTGGAATAATTTCAAAAATTCACTCAGACACAAAAAATGGGAAAAAAGGGTCCAGGTTGAGAAATACCTAAGTTACCCTGCAATGCTTGTTGGAAATGTCTAAGCCATTTTATTCGTTTTCTGAAGGAAATAATGAAGCCTAATAAAGTACCTCAGCTCGTAAACTGTGACAGCAAGAAGGCTTAGAGTAGAAGTGTCTCTAATGTTATGTGAGCAACATTTTTTACTTTTACTACAGCAAGCAAACAGCAAAATAATCAAAACTCAGTCCACTGAAATAACAGAGCCAAAACCAAATCCTGCATTCAGCCCAAGTTCAATTTATCAGTAATTTTAACTACATTATGTGGAGAGCACTGTTGAGCAAAAAAATATCTCAACCTCCATGAATCCAAACAACGTGCTTTATGTTTGGACTTTGGTAAAGGCACCTGATACTGTTTACATTTCTATTTGCCTCCTAACTTTAACAGTCCCGAACTTCATAAATGATGCACAGAAAACTTTTTTTTTTTAATTTTCAGACGGTTTTTCCTAATTATTATGCAACAAGTTTTCAGATCTTTTATCCCCAAAGGCGAGATTTGTACATTCCTTCTTGATTCAAGTGACACTCCTGGCTGCTAACAGTTTGCCATATTCGGAAACAAATTAAGAGACATTTCTCTGTAATGTCAAAAGAGTGAATACATAATTAAGAAATACTTGTACTGGATAACGAATATCCATATAAAACCATCTCCAGTGGTCAGGACAACTGTGGGAGCATTCAGAACAGCAGTGCAACACTGCTCGTTTTAATGATTTATTTTTAAGAAATAATGATAAATATTCACAAACATGTCTCTCCTTTTGTACTTGAAGCTGATTGTTCTTAATGTACATATAACTGACAATTTCTGATCCGCCATGACTAAATTAGCCATATTGTGCCATATATTGGCTACTTTTTGAAGTCCTTTATGTGGACAGCTGTCAGGACCTGGCAAAATGGAAATCTTAAAAATTGTTGCTGCGCATTTTTGATGTAACACTGACATGCGTGACCATCCTTTTCCTAGTTGGCAGCTTGTTGTTACAGTAAATCAACACAAAGTGACCAAATACAGCTTTTTTCACAATAGTTGGGATCCCGAAAATTAATGGTAGCTTCTACAACAAAGCGTTGAATACTATACATAAAGAAAGTACAGGTATAGGGATCATTGCAGACTGGACACAGCTGTCAGGGCAGAGGAAACTTCAGCTCATAAAATCAAGTTTGTAGTTGTCAGCTTGGACTATAAACTTCTTCTTTTTTTTCTTTAAATCATTGGTAAAAAAAAAAAACATTTCAAACAAATTGTCTGTTTACATACAGAAAGTCCAGCTATGTGTGCAGATACATAACAATGACATACAAACTTTCCTTGTATGGAGTGTTATGGCTCAAGACAGCAAGTGTCCATGTTGTAGTTCCACTGGCCAAAAACGACATTGAAAGGGACAGTGTAGGTGATTCCAGCAACATGTTTTTTAATTTTTTTAATTTTTTTATTTTTTTATTTTTTATGTTGTCTGGCATGAAAGCATTCCTCTATTCAGTGCAATGATGATAAAGCAGATTTTTTTTTGGACACTTTCAGCTCTCCAGTGTTGCCCTAAACGTTGCTGTGTGGCATTGCTTTTGTTGTGCATCTGCATGTCATGTCTGAGAGAGGACGCACCGGGCTTCAAAATAAGTGTTTGTTCATCAACAATGTCAGTGAGAAATAAATTATGCATACAAAATGTTGGGTGCTGCTGTGTTTGTATGTTTGGCACCTACAAGCTGAAAAGGCTGCATAGCAAAAGCAGCTGGATGAAGGTACCTTTTTAAATGGAAATGAATTGAAGGACAGAGATCGTTTATCATCATATTCTGTCTTACTTTTTCATCTATTGGATTTTCTTTTTCTTGCCCCCATAATTTCCCTCAGTTCTAATAACCTTTCACTGTTGCTGAAATTGCTAAGATTTGGGAATGCTGTGACAGAGAGGGTGGTCAGATAATCACACAATTTCAAAAGGTTTAGCCAAACTTATTTTGAAGAGAAAACAAGGGCAAACTGTATACTTAATCCCCAAACTGTGAATATCAACATGACAGCTAAAGGCTGATGTCCTTGTCCAACTGTGACCGACTACACTGGCAGTGCTTGCACAGAGGGTTTATTACTGACTTTTTTGCATGTACTTACTGGACTTTTACATTCAAATAAAGGTCCAAAATTAGCACCTGCCACTCACCATGAGTGGCAGGCTGAAATAGGCCTGCTCTACTACAAACTCTCATCACTACAACATATGAACTGATCAACCACATTTTGCTTTGCATCGACTCTGCACACTAGTGACTGTCAATAATTGTATCGCAATTGTATCCACCATTGCTACGGTCACTTTATCTAGCAAACTACCCAACTTCTAATAATCAAGCCAGGTACAACAGAGCGATTTTTTTTCTGCAAAGAGACTGCAAGTTTGTGGCCATCAGGCCTAAAAGGAAAAATGAAGGACTTGGTGGAGGAACTGTTAGAATAGATTTTACCGCTCTTACTTCTCATAGAACGGTTTGTATGACATCCTACAAAAATTGCATGCACAACAGTTCTCATGATATCCTACAGATTTTTACCCTATGAAGGACATTACGTCTTTAACGTACAGTTACGTAACTAACGTACAGTTACAGACTTACAGAGGTTGGGTTTAGGCAATAAAAGTTACCGTGGTTAGGTTTAGGAAAAGAAACATGGTAAGGACGTACCTTAAAATAGCTTAAAGTTCACTCAACATTCACACGGATCCAAACATGCAACTCCAGAGGAATGTCTGGTTTTTAAGTCTGTTTTTTTGTGACTCATCCAACACTTGAACCTGCCTCCATACAAGCGCTCGGGACTTCCTCTTTGTTTACTGCTGTCAGTGCATTGGTCACCTGATTGGAGCCTTTTAAAATATGTGAGATTGTACAGATTTGTGTGCATTACTTTACTTATGGATTAAAAACTTAATTTTGGGCCCTGAAAATGAATAATCTTGCTAAATTACTGCAAACAAGCTCTTGGTTTGTTGCATCTCAGTGTTTTGTAATCTTCCAAAACAGACAATTCAACAATCACACACACTTTTGCAGCACTTTATGCAGTGATTGGTCAAGTATGAAAAGCAGTGTTTGAACTTCTGTCTTTAGTTCTCTTTCTTCATTCTTCACATAATTACTTCTACTCCAGGAGAGACTGCTTAAAGGGAAATTTCAGTTCATTTCAACCTGTCTCCTATCGTCCTAAATTTGTTTCAAGTGACTAGTGACATAAAAATAATAGTTAGCATGTTAGCCTTTAGCCTAGATACAGCCGGGGCGCATAGTAGCGTCAGACCTTTTAAAACGTAAGTGAAACGTAAGTTTTTTTCCACAAAGACCGCCTCATATCGTTAAGATAAATATCAGAGAACATATAGAAAACGACATGTAAACGTGTTGTCTTACCTTACCGGTGTGCTGCCATGTTTGTTTACCATCTAGCTCTGCTTTCCAAAGCGCGGCCGAAATATATCTGGCGAGCTCTAGATAAAGCCCAGCTGGATACTACTCCAGGTGGAGGTGTCTCGTCCTCGGTCACATCCAGACCTTGAAAATAAGGCTGCAACTGGTCCCATTCCTTGCAACAGAGGCATTCCTCTTCTGTGGGCACTGGGGCACAGCATCCACAGGTACACCACCAATCTCCAGAGCTACGCAGCCCTGCAGCAGCCATTCCTCCTCTCTCGTCCTCTACCTGTTGCACCTCTCTCTCTCTCTGGCTCAAATAAATAAGGGCGGCCATCAAACTCTGCAAAATCAAATTCCTCCTCCACAGAGTTGAAGTCTGGCAAAAAGTCAGCCATTATTCTATAAATCTTTCATAAAATAAATGAATGAACTTTTCAGGCTACTGTCAGGTTCTGCCTTCCAGCTGTTGCTGCTTGTTCAGGCACGCTATGAGATCGCTGCTTGTTCTCGTGATATTTCGGCCGCGCTTTGGAAAGCAGAGATAAATGGTAAACAAACATGGCAACACACCGGTAAGGTAAGACAACACATTTACATGTCGTTTTCTATATGTTCTCTGACATTTTTCTTAACGATATGAGGCGGTCTTTGTGGAGAAAAAGCTTGTTTAGTGGACTAACTTTGCACTTGAAAGGATGCCCGTTCACTTATGTTTTAACAGGTCTGATGCTACTATGCGCCCCGGCTGTATCTAGGCTAACGGCTAACATGCTAACTATTATTTTTATGTCACTAGTCACTTGAAACAAATTTAGGACGATAGGAGACAGGTTGAAATAAACTGAAATTTCCCTTTAAAGGGGAACAGCGTGCCAATGGCAGGGTTTTCGCTCAACAACTATGAACATGTTTTTGCTTTAGACTGGGTAGATGATGCTGTTTGACCTTGACAAGATCTTAAACATAACCAAACCTATATCATAGCAGAGAACACTCATGGTGGTAAATGGACTTGCACTTGTGTAGTGCCTTTCTATTCCTCTGACCACTTAAAGTGCTTTTACACTACAGAGCCATGTTCACCCATTCACACAATTATACACTGGTGGCTGAGGCTACCATCAAGGTGCCACCTGCTACCTCCTACTCAGTTACAGTGAACATTCATGCGCACTCACACACCAGGAGCAATTTGGGAGTCAGTATCTTGCCCAGGGATACTTCAGCCTGCAGACTGGAGGAGCCTGGGATTGAACAGCTAATCTTCTGATTGGTGGACTACCTCCTGGGCCACAGCTGCTTGTGTGTTGTTCTAATTAGGAGTCTGCAACTCCTCCTCATAGGCTTGACAACTGGGGGTACTTGCACTATGTGCTACAAATCACTCTGCACCAAGAACTCTGCATACCCCTGCAAAACTGCAAGTAAACCCTGGTGACAGATCACAGCACTGACCAGCAGAGAGAGCAGGTCTGGGATGTTGCCAACACAAAGTCACCTTCCTTTCGCTTCACTTTATCCTCTTCCAGACTCCCAGAGCAAAACCAATGACTGACATGAAGGACAAGCTATAGGGTCTCTAAATGCATGTCTGTGGGTGTGTGCATGTACCTGCAGTGTATTTGCATGTATTTAAATGAGCACATTGTGTGTGTGTGTGTGTGTGTGTGTGTGTATGTGTGTGTGTGTGTGTCCTTTCTGTTGTCACCCTGTACAGCAGAGGGAACAATATATTTACAGCCTGTCCTCATGGGGGTGGACACATTCACACTGTGTTATACAAGTGTAGGTGTGTATGAGGAGGAAGTAGGAGTAATGGAGCTAGACAGAAAATATATATATTTGTATAACACACAGGAATGAGCATATGTAAAGACATACTATAGATATGTGTTTTTGCATATACCCATGTGTGTCTCACTGCATGTGTATTAAAGAAAAAGGCTGGGAAAAGGGAGTGCTCAAACGAGCCTCTATGTTCTTGAGAGGAGTGAAAGGACATAACTCGCTGTCTCTGAGGGAACATTGTCTCTCGCCCTCTATGCTTCGCTGGTCACCTCTGCTATAGGTCTATATATAGCAGCTCACTAGAGGCCAGGCTGTCATTACCAACAGCTCACCTGATTATGAGAGTGATTTATTATCAAGTTAAGATACAGAAACACCTCTGGGCTATAAAACACATTTGTGCTGTGATGTCCATAAGATATTCAGATTTATTTCTGGCCTGACTATAGCTCAGTAAGAAAGGTAAAACTGGAACATGCATTTTGGCTTTATAAAGCTAATGGTAATTGAATGAGAGGGTGGAAGGATGCACATTCTCTCTGACAGTCTTTTCTTACAGCTCATTCAATTTAAACAAGTCAAGTTAAATCAAAAATCTAAGAAAGGAGATAAGTATTCATCCTATAGTGTTTGGTTGATACGTCAACAGAGTTCCTGTAACTGTAATGGCTTTATTCAGCTACTTTTATTACATCAGACTTGTTTTAAGGTTGATTGAAGCTTTTGTTTTTATACACAGACCTGCATGAGCTCAATTTATGACCACATGGGGGCAGCAGAAACAATCAGTAGATTAATCAATAATTAAAAACTAGTATTTTACTAGAAAAGTGCACTTTCTGATCGTGGACAATCTAGACAATTCATTTAGTTTCAGTAAACATGTTTTAGCAGCTTCCAGAGGCTAAGAAAAATACACGCCTCTAGGGCTGTACCCAATTCAGAATGATGTCACTCGAATCAGATTTGTCTGTTCGTTCTGGGTTGTTGGGGGATTTTTTTTCATAAACTTTAAAATTTAAATGGGGCAAAGCAGGACATTCGGTGTGACAGTGGCATTCATGTAATATACGAAACAAGCTAACTGCACTAATGACGGATCGGAAGAGTGCGGCAACATTTTTTGCAGACACTACATATTAAACAAAGGCCAGATACTGTATTAATTTTCTGTGAGCTGTAAATTCACCCCTTCTAAGAAGAAGAGAGAAGATAATGTTATCTCAGAGTCTTATGTTGGAAAGTCTCTACTCCCCTGCGCTGCTGCATCATGTCCACAGCCATCTCTTCCAAAGAGTAGTGTGACAGTCAAGAGAGCTCATTCCACATCAAAATCTGGGGACAGAAATGTCCCCAGAGGTACACTGTACAGCACACTGGCTAGCAAGAAAAAACAACAACTGTTTGACTTGAAGCAATCTCACTAGACTGAAGGGTCTTGGCTCACAATTCGAATCTTCAACTTTCAAGGGGCAGCCTTATAAGCCTCGCCTATTTTTGATGGAGCTGCAATATAAGTGGAATTTGAACAGTATTAACTTTGTCTGTAGGCTACAGCACAACAAAGTAAGAAATATGAACAATAAGCACAATAAAAGTAGACCAAAAAAGAAACGATTTAACTACATGA